CACCATATTTGGCCTGAAGCTTCCTGGCGAACGCCACCGCGGCGTCCGGGTCCGGCACCACCGCCGTCGCCGCCTCGGTGCCCGCGAACCGCTCCGCCCACGCGACCAGCAGCGGGGTCTTCCCCGCGTCGAGGAAAGTCACGCCGAACATCCTGCGCAGCGCCTCCATCCAGAACATGTTGCAGCCGACGGCGAGGTCGAGGAAGCCGATGGAGTCGCCGGCGAAGAAGGGCCTCCTGCCGCTGTCCAGGCACTCGGCCGCGGCCACCTCCAGCTGCGCGAGCGCGGCGAGCGTCTCGCCGACCTTCTCCGCCCTCGCCGCCTCGGTCGGGGCCAAGAGGATGCCCAGCCAGGCGGGGAACAGCTGCAGAGCAGAGCAAGAAGATGAGATCGACCGACACCATTACTTCTCTAGCACTCACATTTCAAAGCAGAGTCGGAGGAAAACACACACAGAGAGACACGCACCTTGTCGTCGACGTAGGCGGCCCAGAAGCGGGCGGTGGCGCGGGCGTAGGGGTCGGCGGGGAGGATGGGCGCGCCGGCGGCGGCCCAGACTTCGTCGACGTACTGCACGATGATCTGTGACTCGCAGAGCGGCAGGCCGTTGTGGATGAGCACGGGCACCTTCTTGTGGACGGGGTTGTATCGGAGGAGGAGCTCGCCCTTGTCCAGCACGTCCGTCTCGATGTACTCGTAGCTCAGGCCCTTGATGTGCAGCGCCAGGCGGACGCGGGTCACGAACGGGCTCACCAGCAGCCCCAGCAGCTTCAGATCCCCTTCTCCGGCCATGGTTTCTGCTATTGGGATAGATAGCTCGGCTCTCCTGGATATGTAGTCGTTGAGTGATGATGTGACTAATTGATAAGTCTGGAGCAGATCTGTTCGCTACAATTCAGTATAAATAATGCAGCCCACATGTGATATGATTCGTTTGCCATGCTGTGATGCAGAGGCGGATTGGGTCCCGAGATCTGAGTCAATGGTGAATCGGCGAGGCGTGTGTCACGCTTCAATTGAATAATAACAAATGGTTAGGCCTGTAGCGCGGTTTGAGAGGAAATTGTACGCATGTTTTCTTTTAAATAAAAAATATAGAGTCCTTGCCCCCGTCTAAGAAAATGTTGAGTAAATAGGAAATTTTTAACTAATTTAATCCATAGATAAATCAGCATGACATTAACAAAATTAACGACATACTGGCAGATTTAAACATGCACGTACATACAAATCTACACATACTGCTAGTACTGCTAATATGAAAATAAACAGGAGCGGGATAAACGTGTTATACTCTTCAGTAGGCCAGGCAGAAGCAGCGACGGCGGTGACAACAGCAGCGGCATCCTCGGCGGCCTTCTTGTCGGCCTCGATCTTCTCAGCGGTGGCACGTTTGGCGTCGGTGTACATGGTGATGACGAAGACGACGCGGAAAGAAGTAGTGGATCGGAGGTGAGCAGTCGCGTAGTCGCTTTCCAAAAACCTATTCGCCTCTCTCCCGTACAGGAACCGGAGAGACGGGGTTCAAAGACCTGCTCTCCCGTCGACCGTGTACTCGGCAGACAGGATGGTGTCACCGGTGGCAGCAGCCGCAAAGGAACGACGTGGGCGGTTCGCTGGGAGCAGATGTGATCTGTTCGTGGCGGTTAGGGTTAGGAGACACCGTACACTTATATAGGCGCAATCGCGAAGAGAGATGTGGGCTCGACCCACGTCTCGGATCGTGGCCCAGCTGTCAGAAAACTCTCCATCAGTGACTGGCAAAATAAAGCGCGTAGGTGTGAGCTCAACTCGGCTCATTTCCACAACCCTTATAAGGAGGTCCAACTCCTCTCCAACTTTCAGGATGAGACTAAACTTCCCACTATACACAGTGCCAATAACCCACATGGGCCATTAGAGAAATTGCTATTGGCCTAAAGCCCATCACAAATTTCAGCAGAAAACACCTCAGAAAAAAAATCCTCGCCTTCATTAAAAAAAGTAAAAAGGAAAAGGAAAAAAATACCACCGCGACCTACCAGTGAGTGCCACTTTGCACAACCCTTCATTAAAATAAGAGGTTATCACCTTCATCTAAAAAAATACATTAAAAAAACAATCCACACCTTCATCTAAAAAAAAAGTTCTGAAAGATTTCTCACCACGCCCAACCAGCTTGCGCTATGTGGCATAGCTGGTTGGCCGCCCTTTATACGTAGCTTAATGAGTTTAAAGATTTCTCACTGCGGCCAACCAGCTCGCACCTTGTGGCATAGCTGATTGGTCGTCCTTGGTTAAACCCATTAAACTACGCGTGAAGGGCGGCCAACCAGCTATGCCACATGGCGCAAACTGGTTGGGCGCGGAAAAAGCTTTTGGGATATTATTTTTAGATGGAGGTGAGAATTTTTTTAAAATATTTTTTTCCTTTTTAGATGGAGGTGATGACCTTACATATTTTTTAAATGAAGGTCTACGCAAAGTGGCGTTCGCTGGTAGGCTATGTTGGTGATTTTTCCTTTTCTTTTTTACTTCTTTTTCTAGATGGAGGTGAGGATTATTTTAAAAGTTTTTTCTAGATGAAGGTAAGGACTACATGTACTTTTTAAAATGACAATATGTGCATAACTTCCTCTCGAGCGGCGCCATGGGGCGCCCCAACCACCACTAGTAGATATTAAGTATACTCCCTCCGTTCAAAAATACTTGTTATCAAAATGAAAAAAAAAATGTATCTAGAATTAAAATACATCTAGGTACTCCTTTTATACATCTAGAAGTACATTTCTTTTTATTCATTTTAATGACAAGTATTTCCGGACGTATAAGTTATGTTGTCTAATCATGATTTGAGATTTTAGGCAGCAACCATGTTAGCAATCCACAAAGGATCTAAACTCGACCGTGTGCGAAGACCACCCGCATGGTCAGCAATTTTCATCATTCGTAAAAAAGAAAAAAGAGAAAGGGTTATGGCCCACGACGCGGTGACTCCGACGGTGGAAACATCATCCCCCATATTTTTTCCCCACTTTGCTCCTCTCTGTCTTTCTTTCACTTTCCCCACCCCCGTCTCGCCGTCGCCGCCGACGGTGGAAACATCAGAACTCCGAGTCTCCAACCTCGCTCCTCCTCTGTCTTTCACTTTCCCCACCTGCGACGCGGTAGCCCCCATCTCCATCTCGCCGCCGTCGCCGAGCAGGTTGGGGCGAAAGGAAAGGAAAGGAGAGCTGCTCAGCACGGCGACCTCGCAGCACTGCACTGGAGTCAACCAAGCTCAGCCTGCCTCTGCAATGTTGATTTGATGGTATCTACAATTAGGGCTACTGCAAAGGTATGCCTGCCGTTTCCCCTGCTCTCTCTTCTGCTTCTCTTCTCTTCTCTTCTGTTCCCCTTTTTGCAATGGAGATTAATTACATCTTGGATCTTACAGCAACAGTCACAGCCGTGTTTCTGCTCTTCTCTGTCCAGGCATCCATCTGGTTTGCTCTCTGCTCCTAATGTCATCTGGTCAGCATCTTCTTTAATGTGCCCAAATCTATCCCCACATCTCTTGATTTCGGCACGCAGTTCCAGTTTGTGACGAAATCTTTAATGCCTGCTGCAGTTCCAGTTTGTGCTTCCTAGACTACTACATACAGTACAGTACAGTACAGCACAGGGCTAAATCTCCAGCAGGTACCAATTTCTGCAAGCCTGTCCTGTCTGCCTGTCTCAAGCAAACTAACTTTTACCATGCTCTAGTTCTGAATGGAGGACCAAAGTGTGCTGGAGCGTATACTTAACGGAGAAGAGGACCCCAAGGATCTGCCATTAGCGCTCTTACAAAGCATCACCAATGATTTCTCTCAAGACAAACAAATTGGTCAGGGTGGATTTGGAGTGGTTTACAAGGTAAGTACACTTTACCGCCTCGAGTCCAGTAAGATATCACTAGTTTGATTCAAAAGTACCACAGATTCATCTTGTTTTATTTTGAATCCTTTTGTATTAAAAATTACAGCAGGAAACTGTCCTTCTGTTTTAGTTCAAAAAACAAAAGTACCACTCTGTTTATTAGTAGAAGCAGAACTTGGCCACTCTGCTTTTGTATTCTAGGGCTGAAGCATCTTCTAAACGCTGACCAACAGGGTGTACTCCGAAATGGGATTATTGTTGCTGTCAAGAGGATAGAAGTGAATCAAATCACAATTGATGACGTGTCATTTCGTCGTGAGTTTAATAGCCTGATGAACAACAATCATCAAAATGTAGTCCGGTTTCTTGGCTTCTGTTCTAATACACATCATATACCGAGAAAAGAGGCTGGAGAAATTAGCCTTGTCAACGTAAGAGAAAGATTGCTCTGTTTTGAGTACATACGCAATGGAAGTCTTGATAAGCATATTACTGGTATGATCTTACTGCAATTGATGCAGCTCTTCTTTTTTACTTCTTTACCTTATGGACCTTAGCCTTGACTAGTGCTCAGTTTTCAAGACCAGATCAACCTTGGCGACATACTTGCATTTAAAATGTTCTATCATTGCTCAGTATGAAGTTTGACATAACTTCCTTTTTTTTATGTATTTATTATTCTACAGATGAATTAAGGGGACTTGAATGGGAACCACGTTATGCAATAATGTCTGGAATTTGCAAGGGTTTGTTTTATCTCCACGAGGAATTTTTTTTTGTTCATATGGACCTTAAACCGCCAAATATATTACTTGATGATCATAAGATTCCAAAAATTACTGATTTTGGGTTGTCAAGATCTGATGAAATGTCGCATACTACAGGTCAACGTTTTGGAACACCGTAAGCTATGAGGAACCATTATTTACAGTTTTCTATCATTACAGCCCTACATTTATTTTGTGTCATAATGCATCACACTATTCTATTTTATTGCAGAGGATATGTCGCTCCAGAATACAAGAAAGATGGCAAAACTTCATTCAAGTGTGACATATACAGTTTGGGTGTCATAATCACAGAATTGGTAACGGGGCGTAAGAGCGTCCCTCACAAAAATAATGTAAGTGTGATATCTCTCACTTTTTAGAACAGCAACAATTAATGTTTTGCATCCATCTTTTGTTCGTTCTTTAATATGCCTAGTATAGTGCTGAATAGCATATATCTACTTTAAACAACATCTTTCTTCATATATATCGCGCGTGGCTGGATGGATTTGTTTACGGTGCTGAGGCGAACACACACTATGGGTCTAACATATGGCCTTGAACCCATAGACCGACGGATCCAAACAGATGTTGCCTTGTACTATTAAGTTGCTTGCGCGATTTGGCTGTGTGGCTTTGCACCCCCACACGGCACAACTGTAGGTGGCAGTCCTGATCCGGTGGTCATAGTGCTGTGTCTCGCATTGGTGTGGGCATTGGAGTGCTCGACGCAAAAGTCTGCAATGGCAGATCTGTCGACTCAACATCTACAGGATGCAGGGGATTTGGCCCCTTGTCCGGGGCCTGTGTGGCCGGCCTGGTTTTTTACTCTGCAGTGTGCACACTGGTTTCACAATAGCTGATACGTGGGTTCCTTGTTGGGAAGACGACAACGGAGACATCCATGTTGATGGTGGTGGCCCTATCTAAGCGCAGCTCGGCAATGCATTATGCACGTACATGGTTTTGCTAGCGTGGTGATGTCCACATCAAGACCATACGCATGAACAGTTGTCTCCGGGTGTGTACGCCATGGATGGGTTGGAGATTCCAGATCCTAGGTCCATGGTGCGTGCGTGCCTATCCTAGCAAGAGTGGCTTTGCATCAGTGACTTCATCTTGGCAAGTGGGGGCGGCAAGAGACGGTGACTTCAATTTGGTGGTTGTGTCATTCAATACCAGGTTTCGATTTCCACGGTGAAAACCCTAGGTTTGACCTTCTTTGGTTGTACTTGACAATGACTGCCTTTTTGACATCCCTTGTTGAAGGCATTGTCTGGATATTGCTCGGAGTCTCGCTCCGGGATGAAAACCCATGATCTAGCCTCATTGGTTGGATCGAGTGACATCAGATGGTGGTTGATGTTGATGTTTCCCTGCTGCGAAACATTGATCTCTTTGGCAGGATCTTCTCCTCTTCTTTTTTAATAATTTGGTCGTGTGCATCCTCAGTGTCTTGACAACTCTTGACATTGTGTCATCGTAGAGGCCGGTGTACTTGGCATTAGCTTGATATTAATATATAATCTTTCATCGAAAAAACTATCTAGTATTGCTATCCGTAAGGGTCCATTAGTATGATGGTTGTTAGGAAAACTCCACAATACACATCCTATCTATGGGCTATGGCAAAGAGATTAGCAACAATGCAATTGTATGACACTTCAACAATTACATGTAGCATAGATATAGATTTAACTATCACAAATGACTCAAAATTTGGGGATGGGGTTGCTCATAGCAAAGCAACGTTGGGTGGATACTTTGTACATTTAGACAGCTTTGAAATACATCCACATGTAAGGGATATGCTTCACATATATATTTAAAATTATAAATAACTCTATGCTGACTTCACTAAGGTTCCACTACTAATTTGTTTCTTTTATGTATTGTGGCATTTTTTTGCAGGTACTTCATAGTAATTGATGATATATGGGATTCGGAAGCATGGGGTCTTATTCAATCTGCTTTTCCAGAAACCGAACGTGGAAGTAGAGTGATAACAACAACAAGGAATCATGATGTTGCTCTTGCCACTTGCAATGCTGAAAGCGAATATGTTTATAAGATCAAACCACTCAGTGTTGAAGACTCAATAACACTATTTTTTAGAAGAACATTTGGTCCCAAAAAGGGTTGTCCTGATACACCCAGAAAAGTAGAGATTTCAATTGATATTCTAAATAGATGTGGTGGTATGCCACTTGCTATTAATAGCATAGCAAGCCTTCTGGCTGGCAAGACAGACTCGACCTGGGAGTATGTATGGAAATCTTTGGGTGCTATGACTGAAGGAGATGATCATGAAAAGATGAAGCAAATATTGGATCTTAGCTACATACATCTTCCTGATCATCTTAAGACATGTCTGCTTTATGTTTGTATGTATCCAGAGGATCGCGAGATAGATAAACATAATTTGTTGAGGAAATGGGTAGTCGAAGGGTTCGTGCACGTGAGTAGAAACAGTGGGCTGGATGCAGAGGATGTTGCAGAAAAGTACTTCGAAGAGCTCATCAGCATGTGTATGATCCAACCTGGGAGGATAGACAAATACAGCAATGAAGTGTTGTCTTGTAGAGTACATGATATAATTCTTGATCTGATGAGATCCAAGTCAAGTAAAGAGAATTTTATTCATGTAATTGATGGTTCGAAAGATGAGACAGGGGAGATCCGTCGAGTCTCGGTCCATCGCAATGATAAAGAGGATACGAGAATTTCGGAAACAATCAATAAAGGGTCACTGTCACATGTTCGGTCTGTGTTACTTTATCGAAGCTCACTTGTACCTTGTTTTCTGGAGTTCAAGTATGTCCGAGTTCTACACCTTGAATATGGAGTTATAAGTGGGAACATAGACCTCACCAGTATCAGTAGGTTGTTTCTCCTAAGGTATTTAAAGATTGCAGGCTCTCCTCCTGGACGTCCATATGAGCTGAAGCTACCTAATCAAATTGGGGGGCTACAGCAATTGGAGATAATAGATATATATGGATGTAAATTGAGAAATTATCCATCAGATATTGTTAGTTTGCCCTGGTTATCGCATCTCAGCTCGATGGGATCAGTGTTGCCTGACGGGATCGACAAGTTGACATCCCTGCGCACCCTAGCAGGCATACGTCTGTATGGAAGTTCGGTAGAGAATGTCAAGGGGCTCGGCAAGCTGACCAACTTGAGACAACTTGAGATCTCTTCGGATGGGCCTAGTGAAGGTTTGGAAGAGGCCACCATGGATGCCTTGTACTCTTCCATCTGCAAGCTTTCCGCCAACCTCAGGACCTTTACTTTCACAGGAGGATTTCTTTACATACGAGATGTCCCAGCAGGCTGGATTACCAGAACAACATTCCCTTGGGGTTCTCAGATTCAGGAGCTCAATCTGGGATACTGCAGGTTTGAAAGGTGCCCCGAGTGGATTGGTCAGCTCCACGGCCTCTACAAGATTTGTATTAGTGTGAGGGAGGTGGCTGATGGTGTTAGTATTGTTGCACAGTTGCCTTCACTTGCCTACTTCTGTTTGAGTATTTTTGGTATGGGTAAAGAAGAAAAGGAAGAAAGTGTAGTCATCCCTGGAACTGGCAGCGGGGCATTCAGAGCACTCAAGCACCTGCGTTTCTACTGTAAAAAGGTGTCATTGACCTTTGAAGCTGGGGCTATGCCCAAGCTGGAGAAGCTTTCTATACAGTTCCGTCACGAAATGGCTCCTCAGTTCCTACCGGTTGGCATCCAGCACTTGCCGGTTGGCACCCTTAAACTAATCTGGTTACATGTGATCCCTGACTTCTTGCAGGTGATGAAAGGTTCCAAGCTCTTGAACGATGACTATTCAAGAAAACGCACAAGGAAGTTGGGGCCCATGTTGAAGAGAGCATTTAAGCAGCAGCATCCTGATGCTCACATCATCACTCACGTAGGAAGGGATGAATATATTTCGAGTGATGACGAAGATCGTTACTCCAGTTTAGATGAGTATGAAGTGATGAAGAAGATGCATATTGAGAGGGACTCCAGTTTAAATGAGTATGGACTGATGAAGAAGATGAATATTGAGAGGGTGTTGACGCATGAATTTTTTACATTCAGTTTAGTTGACCATCAAGACTTAATGAAGCAGCATCAAGACGTAATGAAGCGGTATGAATATATTAAATCCAGATTAGCTGAGCATCAAGACAAAGGTGAAGAAGATGAAGAGTATTATAATGAAGAAGAAGATTACTGTAATGAAGAAGATGAAGCGACAAGCACCAAGAAGATGAAGCGACAAGCACCAAGAAGATGAAGAAATGACGTCTCTTACCTGTAACATCATTGAGCCCTATTAATGTGATGCCTAGTTGTACGGAAATACAACAACTGACCACATCATTGTTAAGATTGTGACGGGTATTGTCTTGTCTGCACCTACGCTGACGATACCTTGAACATTGTTTTTAAAACTTTTTTATCATTTTTGAGGAACCTATACTATTTCCAGCTTACCACTTGAAATTAGCTTTCGTAATACCAAGCCCTAAACAACAAAAATCTATGTGCTATACCTTTTGAAAACGCTCCATGATACCTGTCCAAAAGAAATAAAATGAAAATCATCAAGGGGCCCAAAATAGCCCTGAAACTGCAAAATCTGTGTGAAAATGTGCTATGTTCTTTCAAAACGCTCCATGTTGCCCAGAAAAAAAAATGGTGTCATGAAAATCATCAACTGACCCAAAAATAGCCCAGAAAGTGCATGATCTGTGTGCTATACCATTTGAGAACGATCTATGGTGTCCAAATTGATGAAAAAACAGGTGAAACGTTGTGAATATCACCACCTGGCACAATATACCCTGGAAACCGCAAAATCTTTGTCCTATAAATATAAATATGAAATGTCATGAAAATCACCACCGAGCCCAAAATAGGCCAGAAATACCATAATATGCTACCTCATCATGGGGCCCAAAATAGCCATGAAGCAATAATGAGTGTGATCCAACAAAACTTGCAAAATATTTTATGGCGAAGTAGAAAGCAAAAGGAAAGATCCAAACTTTGCATACTACTGTATTCATCAGAATTCTTTCCTAGCTTGTGAAAGCACAAAGGGATCAATCAGTGTTCTTCCTCTACACTAAAGAATGAATCACAATACAGAGTTGCAACACCGCAAACTTTCTGCGTCATCCTAATTGCCTTTTTTTCTTCCTGTGGCTCACAACAGCCTAGTCGATCACGTTCCCGTTCCCTCCCTGGAGCGCCTCATGCTCTCGTTGATCAGCTTGAATGTCTTCTTTACAAGTTTCTGGTCCAGCTCCGTCATTCTGTCTATCTTGAACACCCGGTCGACGCGGTCCGGCTTGCTGCTCTGGAAGTAGACCTCTTCAAACTTCTTCACGAATCTCTACTCTCTACCTAATCTTAAATTAAAAGACGGATTATTTCTCCACCTTTTTTCGTCCAATTATTTTTCGTCGGTTAAATCCAAGTTCAACCTGCCCCACCATGTTGTCAGCCATGCAGTGTATTCCCTGCTCGTTGGATTTTCCTAACCGATTGCGCGCACAACCTGTATCTTTGCCGTCCATCCAGGACACTGTCCAATCAACCTGCCCCACCATGTTGTCAGCCATGCAGTGTATTCCCTGGTCATGTGATATTCTATTGTGTGCATATGAAGCAGTATTGCAGCAAATGTGGGGCCATGGCCTATAGATTCTCCTAACAACTAGATCCATGGCCCATAGATTCGTCACGAGGGCTGCGCTGCTCATTATCTATGCAAGTCTAGATACAAATTCCATAACGTTTGAATAATTGACGCGCATATGTTTAATCTGGTCAGTAATTCGTAAGTCCCAAAAAATGGTAGTAGAACATTCATAAAAATGCCACTTTCTAGCATAGTCGACAAAGGGGCAAAAAATCATAAACGTTCTACTGAACTTGTGATAAAGTCCATACGTTGCCTTCATAAAGTTTTGTACTATTTTCATAACCTTCAAATTCACATGTACACAAATTTATTCAAGGATTCATACAAAATGCCAGCTAGTTAAACATAAAGTTCCATTAACATCAATATGGCAAGAAAAAACATTCTCTGTTACATACAACAATAAAGTTCTTCAGCAATTTATACAAAGAGACCGTGATGCGGAGCATCCTTCGGTCATCCCCACGGACCTTCCATCGTCTCACCAAGCACCAAGAGGACCCATGACTAGAGCACGAGCTAGAGCTCTCGAGACCGAGGTGACTTCTCTCCTTAGTGATATATCACATGATCCTCTCGAGACATGGCTACTACCTCAATCCGGAATGTCGTGCATGATTAGGTACCAAGAGGACCCTCCCGAGGATGCACATGAAGATGGTCAAGACCCCAAGTCCACAGAAGAAGAGGACCAACGGAAGAAGGCAAGAACAGCCTCCAGGCACCGGACATCCGGCCCCTGGAGATCTACATGGCCAGGATTCGGCAGAAGAAGCTATAGGGACCGGACATCCGGCGTCCAGCCCGGTCATCCGGCCCCCCTCACCAGAAATCCGGCCAAAAGCCCGGACATCTGGCACCGGCGTCCAAGGAGCACAGAAGGTTGCCCCGTCAGCCCGGACATCCGGCCATCACCCCGGACATCCGGCGCCTCCCGAAGCACCGGACATCCGGCCCCTCCGACCGGACATCCGGCGTCGCCCATCCAGAGAACAGAACGGCCATATGCACCAGCTCGGACATCCGGCCCCTCGCAAGCCACCGGACATTCGGCCCGACGCCCGGGCATCCGACCTTCCCTGTCTGCGAACAGTGTAGGGCCGAGGCCCATGTACCCCTCTTCGCCCCTAGACTATATATACTCCATCCCCACCTACGTTTTAGGGTTAGCTTTGTGATAGCTCATTTGAGATAGAGCATTGCTCATCCGTATCGGATCTACTCCTCGTGAGGGACCGCACCTCTTCAGAGAAGATCCATCCGGATTCAAGACCTCCATCCGGAGAAGACAATCAAGACCTCCTCACGGAGAAGAACGGATACCTTTGTATCGTCCCTTGTTGACTATGGATCTCATGTTACTTTGTGCCTCGATGATCTAGCACTTGTGTGATCGATCTCGTGCCGGTTGAGTGTTTCTCTTATTTTCTCCTCGTTTTCCCTCGTGTTCTTCCGCGCGTTCTTCGTGTTCCCCCGTAGGATCCACTCCATACGTGAAAGATCGGCCCCATAGGGATCCGCCCTACATCATCTTGGTATCACGAGCCACGTTGATCACGTTTTTGGAGCCCCTACCCCGTGTCTTCTAGCTTGATTTTGTTGTTTTCGTCCTAAATCCGAAAATTCCTCACCAAAAATAGCCCCAATTTTTTTGTGATTTGTTGGTGTGATGAAGTTTTGTTGGATTTGATCCACGGATCTGCTTTGCATCGAGTGGATCTAGCTTTTACCCATCTCTCCCGCGATTTCCATCCACCAATTCGTCCGAATTTTGCCCCGGAGTTGCCCTTTTTCCTATGGAGTTCATCATGTTCGTCCCCGATCCAGGAGCCCGGACATCCGCTCGTGTCCACCGGACATCTGGCGTCCCGGACATCCGGCCCCTGGCAGTAGCAACTCCAAACCCCTCGCGCCATTTACCACCTAGTTTCGCCCAATTTTGCCCCGGTGCCCATGCTTACTTCCGCATACCCCAATGCTTTCCACAAGCACCACCACCGCTCACCGCTACCTCCTATGTCGATTTTGACGCGTTTTGGTCTTTGAGATTTTGGGTTGTGGTTCCCGTGTCCTATTGTGTTTCGGCTATATAGGTACGGTTCGACATCAACATCACCACCGCTCATCTTCATCGACTACTCATCATCGCCAAGGAGGGTAACTTCGACGACATCTTTGTCATACCTTGCAATTGCATTGATACCCACATGGCCTTACTTTTGCGTAGCTTACCCATCGAGACTAGCCATTGAGTATTGTCGGCAACGTTACTTGTGGACATTAGTGATCATACTCCATAGCATACATACCATACCATAGTGGTGCATATCTTGGCATCAACTTTTGTGTCACAAAGTTGTCATAGCATACACAATTGCTATCTTGGTTCATGAAGTTTTGCATGAGAAAAGAGCTCAAGAGTGAAAGAGCCACCCAAGCTTTTAAGCAAAGAGAAAAGATAAGCAAAGAGCTTATAAGAAAGAACCATAGCATCGTACTACATTAAGATTGTCATACCCGATCATCTTGGATCGTAGCACCGAAGTACCATACATATAGCATACTTGGGATAGAGATCATTGCATTTTTGCCTAATAGATTGTGCACAAGTTCCGAATCCGCCTATTATGCAATCGTGCTAGCGTCTCTCGTGTATTGTGCAACAAGAGCATTTTCATGGATTCCACATTTTGACTCATTTTTGGTTTGCACAATCCCACTTATCTATTTGCGTGTCTGTTTCTGTGTACCTCCACTTGCTTGGTCTACTTGTTGCGTTTGCAAATTTGTGAATCTTTTCCAACAGTATTGAAGCTCACTTACAATTGCATCAAATTTTGTGCCACCATCCTAACCAAGCTCCACCATAAGCTTTTATTTGTGTAGGTGTGAGAACCGACGAGAATTGGTACCAATAGTGCTATTTCATTGTCCGCATTTGAGTGAACTTGATTCATTGTCAACATCGGTCAAGGTACATTGGTATAAGTTCTTCTCCTTCTACCACTCACATTTTTGCTTGGAATGATGGATAGGCCGAGTACTTCTACCAACCCACTCTTCATCGAGCAAGACGACGATATGTCATCATACGTC